GCGGTGAAGGCCAGGGTATATACTGGAAGATACCCAGGTGAAGGAAGGCTGGACCTAAAGTTTATATCCGGGAGAAGGTAATCAAACCATCTCCCATCTATATGACCTTCTGTATAGGCTCGAACGATGTCCCTATTCTGAGTCTTCGGCTCTGTCACGTCGGCCGTGAAAAAAGGACGGTCGAGATCTCCGCTCATGCCAGCCAAGGGGGCGCCCACGCCGGAGGCGAAAAAAATGCATTCCCCCTACCAAGGAAGCTTCGCCGTTATCACCACCTTCGACCAAAAGGTTAACGCTGTCAATCTCTCTCGCCTCTACCGCATAGTCCTCGACTTCCTAGAGGACAGAGTCATCGTATGTTGAGGAGGATGTCCACGAAACTTCGGCGGCAGAGGGAGAATCTGGCCTTACAATAGATGAAGGGTCCTCTCAACGGTTAGATGGTTTAGGAGCCATCGTTCTGGTATAACAAAAGAAAAAAAAGGGGGGGATGATGTGAGGAGCTAAGCCAAAATCCTAAGTCAAGAGGGAAAGGAAAGCGACGATTGTTTAAACTTTCGATGGCTGGAAAGGTATATGAATGCCGATGGCTTAGAAAGCCGTCGACTATTCATAAGGAAAAAATGACGGGTGTTCATGTAAAACCCATATTCATCAATCAAATATCCCAAACCCAGAATCCTAAAGTTCTCTAGTCAGCTAGAAACCAAGAAAGCTATCCTATGTGAGTAGCAATACGCAAAGTAAGTCTCTGAACTCAGTATCTTTCTCAAACCTAGGGCATGTAATGATCCGAAAAATTGAGAAAAAAACAGAAGATAGAAGGACTTACTAGGGATTCAAGAAATGTTAGAATCCGGAGCGCAACCCGAATGAACTTCACAAAACACCGAAGAGAACGAGATGTGGATTCTGGGAGAATTTGGGCAGAGTAACAATAGTCCTCAGAGGTTTGGATAGAAGTCTCAGTTCGAAGCAGCTTTTTAAGGTAAGACGAGCCCTCGACCCCTGAGCATTGGATGGAATCCTAATATACAATGGCGAGGGTAACCAATCGAGATCAAACGGCGGAAACAAAGGCGGGAAGCTAAAAAGACGCGATCCAACTCCTCAGATTCGTTCGTTTAAATAAAGGCCCACGTCAGCATGTTGATTGAACTGACACGACATTTGCACTTCTCAAGGGATTTTCGAACCACCCGAGGCATTATTGTGAGGGAGGTTCGGAGTTAGGCACCCGCATCTGAAGCAAACAAAAGAGCCAGAGCAAATCCCAGACCTCTTGCCCCTCCCCCTTATGACGTGAAAGGGTCGATCATATATAACCGTCGACCTTACATACGGTCGAGGCCTATATGATCGCATCAAATGTACCGTGACAGGGTCGACGGGGAGAGAGGCTACGCCTTGCTTAATACAGTATGAGCGCCGAGGGCAGAACAGAGATGACTGGGCCTATGCCCCAAGAAATACCTGATATGACAAGTTGGAAATCCTGAAGTTACGTCTAGGTTTGGAGAAAGTCAGTGGCACAGGAAATGATTATAAGCTCCTAAACCACCTAAAACGGACGATTAAAGATTACAGGGGATCTGCAGAGCCGTAATAGGCGACATATTGGGTGAGTGAACAGTCCAAAAGGTGTTGGCAAGCTAAAGTCTAGGCAAACGAGATGGTAGGCCACTCGAGTGGATGGACCACTTGGAAGGAACCGTCAAAAAACCCTACAAGCAGCCTAGATATTCATATGTACCCGGAAAGCTATAAAAGGGGCTAAACCCCAGAAGAAAGGAAAGATGTTGTTCGAATGTAGTCAAGAGAGAACAAAAAGTATAACATAATTTACAATGGATGTAGCTCTTAATTAACAGAGTGAACCACTCAAAACTCGTGCGTTTTTATTCTCATTCAAGCACTATTTTTACACTGCTCATCATACTTTCTTTACAAAACATCCACTCAAACTCTAGTACACTTAGTTACAAGTTTTAAATCGCTAACCCAACGGGCCACCGTGGGGTAATCCGGTGCAGTATTGTTGACAAAAATCGACCGTCAACAACTATTATCTAGATTTTTTATATCTATGGCCCTCCAGAGCTCCAACCTGCCAACTCTCTTACTCCATACCATCACCAACAATTTTTCGCCTTACTTTTCTCCATGCCAAAACTATAGATTTCACTGGAACAACAGTACAAGTTATTCATTCATTTATTTATTTACTGTTGTTATAAAAGAAGCATATACACATTTTATTAAATCAAGGGGAAAGAAACGAAGAAAAAAGAGAGACATGTTCTTGTTCACAAACTTTTTCATTGTACATGAAACTTATAAGACTCAAAATTATACAAGTCTAACTGTAAATTAGTTCCAACAGTGTTTATGAAGTCTAGTTATATGCTCATACCACTTTTATGTATACATATACTTAATCCTTGCACAAAAGTCATGTATTTGAATACCAGCTCTCTAAAAAAATATTTAGGGCTATTAAGTTATCAGTCAATTTAGTTTTTGGTATCATTGGCTTTTACAAGTTTACAAACCGTAACTGAACCAAGAGTGGTAGAAAACTGACCAATAACCAACAGATAATAGTTAGTTTGATTCAATTGGTTTGACCGACAGTTGGTGAGGAGGGAAGCGAGGCACAAAGTCAGGCATGGAGCAAAGAAGAGGTGAAAATGTTGAGGCCAATAGGGGAAATGGCAAACTGAATAGGGAAGTATTCTTTTAAAAACTCATCTCCATTCGGTTTGAACTAAATCTTTCAACTTTAAAACTGAAAAAGTTGAGTCAATTCGGTTTGAATTCAGCTCGGTTTTTTCACCAAAACAAAATGAGAAAATGAGGAAAATAGCACTTTTTGGAGGGGTTCTTAGAATTAATTGGTAAATTTTAAAAAACGTTTAGTAAAAGCATATTCTTTCTCGTTAACACTTTCTCTCCTCGTGCTCCCTCTCTCTCGCTTGCCCTCTCTCTCTCCATGCTCGCGATGAAGCCACCAAGGCTGTGCCAATGTTGCAATGCCATTCGCGTTTGTCCTGCTTCATCGTTTGCCTTTTCCGTCATGATTTTGTTGCCTCAGTTTGATCTGATTTCCTCACACGATTTTCGCTAGAGAAAGATCGTCAATGAGAATCTCTACCAAGTTGGCAATGGAACTCCACGCGCTAAGATCAAACTTCTTTGCAAATTCCTGATTCCTCCACACCCAGCTACACAGAGCTCCTGAGAACTTGACTGTTTCTCAAAACGTGATGGTGCCCTCTAGAGCTGCAAGTTTGGGCTAAGCTAAACGGGTAAGATTGAGGCCCACTGCTGTTTGCCCGGGTTCGGCTCTAAATTTTTTGCGCTTAGAGCCTGACTAGGCCGATCCTCTTTCCTTTTATGTCGGATTGACCCGGTTTAAACCTCATATTTTTAAAGAATTTTTTTGAAAATACCTTATAAAATTTCAGATCGGACCAGGCCGGCCCTAAACTTTTTAGGTTTAGGGTGAGACTAAGCCGAATCTCTCTCTTTTAGGGTCGGACCGGGCCGGCCTGAAATTTCCCTTTGGGTCGCCGGGCTCGTCGGCCTAAACTTACACCTCTAGTGTCGTCATAGAGGTTGTCTCCAGATCCGACGAAGAGATCAACAACTTTACCTTAAATTTTTGTCAAATGACTCATTTACTTGGTAAATGACTCATTTAATTGATAAATAATTCATTTAGCGATAAATGATTTATTTATTGTGCACCAAGATAAGTGAAATTTCTGGTCAGAGTTCGTCGCCCCTAGTCAGTACATTCTGGAGTTCGTAAAGATCTACAGCGAGTGAGCAATGTTCACAATGGCTAGGCTATGAAGGAGAAGATCTGACGCTGCACAATTGAACTCACGAACGGATATAAAAGTGGAATGGTTCTCACCAGTTAGAGGCACCATTGGTCACCGATCGCTTAAGTTGCCAACGAGATGTCTTGAATCTTCAATTCTGCACGCAACGAAAGGAGAAGAGAGAGAATAAACAATAGAATATTTATGAAACTAAATTAAGTAAATTACATTTTAAAAATATTTAAAATAAATTGTAATTTACTGCGTTAATGATTCATTTATTTCTCATTAAAGATTTTTTTCCACATAAATGTTCTTTTTACGATTGATAAAAAGATTCTTTCTACATAAAAAAAAAAAAATTTACCACGTAAATTATGTATTACCAGTTATAAATAAAACAATTACACGGTAAACTGTTATTTACTTTAAATAATTTTAAAAACTACTATTTACTTAATTTAGTTTAATTAACAAAGGATAAGAATGTTATTGCAGATTATTTTATAGACTTATTTACAAATATCATAACTTGTGAAAATTCATTTTTTCAACCATAATGGACATATATGTAATTAACTCAAAAGAAAAAACTAATAATTACACTACAAGGTAAAATTTCATAACTTAAATTGAAATTTAACCAAGTTTTTAGAATATTATAAAGGGATAAAATCATTTTGCTACTCTTTATTATAAAAAAATATGCTTTTAGTATCATGTATTTTTTATAATATTAAAATGATACATTCACTTTTTAAAAATCATTTTTTGGGTACTTGAAGCTAATTTTTAAGATATGTAATGTCCAAACTATCATTTTTATCAATTAAATAAAAATCAATATCTTTTAAAAAATCTAAAAATATTTAAAATATTAAAATATTTAAAAGAAAATAACAAAAAAAAGTCATGATTTTTTTCGACGGAAAAGGCCGAGTCCTATCGTTATGTTTAAGACGGAAAAGGCCGAGTAATGAGGCCCAACTTAACCCAACAAGGATGAGTCCGAGTCAAAATCAGATAGATCGGTCAGCATAACTCGTTCGTCCCGAACCTCTCCGGTGTTTCGAAACGATCTCCGAAACGTCGAGGCCGACCAAATCCAAATTTGTCGGTTGCTTTTGGAGCCATTTCCGATACACCGTAAATTCATTTTCTCACTCTATTCTCACATTTAGCTTTCCAATTGATTTGCTTCTGTTTGTGTTCGTGATTGCCGGGTATTTTAGGAGTTCATGTCCATTTCGAAATTAGGGTTTCGCTTGCTCTTTAATTCCCAATCTAAAAGTAATAGCTTTACTGCCCCTGGATTCGATCAGATCATATTGGTTTGCAATTCTATTTGTTTGATGCGCTCACCATAATATTATTGTTATTTCAACACATGATTTTCCAACGAATTTCGAGCAAATTGAACAAGGTTTTGGGGATCAAGGAGTTTGTTTCTCAAATATTCTTAATTGGGATGGATTGAATGGGAGATTGAAAAGTCTTTTTTATTTTTGGTGAATAATGTTTATCTGAATTGCTTTTTGTTCCGTCAGCTGTAGGATCCCCATTATTATCAATGGCACTGATTAATTTTTCGGAGTCTCCGAGATGAGGTTCAAGAATGATTTAGTTTTGAATTTGATGTTCAGCTGCTTAGTTTTTATCTAGTTGCTATTCTATTGTATAAACGTTATTGTTCCTGCCACAGGAATGGGGAAGAATCCTAAGACAGTTTTGGGTTAAGAAGGGTATGGAAAATTTATACGTCCTTTTACACGGTCACGGTTTAAGTAGTTTATGCTTAAGGTACTGTAGATTTTTGTTTGCATCGTGTTTTAGTTTTAATGGAGTTTGAATATAATCGGATAATGGATATAGCAGAGTTAGACGTATATTTTTCAATAACAGAGAAGAAGAAGAAGAAGAGAATAAGAGGGGAGATTGTGATGGAAAAGAATGAGAAAAAAAAAAAGACGAAACCAACAATCGAATTGTTCTCTTTGGTTTATAACAGAACGAAGCAAGGACCTGAGTAATTGATACAATGATATTGAAACCAGGGATATAATGAAGTGGAAAACATAAGAATAAGGAAATGGTGCGCTTGCACTTGGTGGCGATGATGTTTGCCACTGTCGATGAAAATTCAGCGTGATTTGTTACTTTTGATCTTTTGCTTATTTACTTACATGTTGCTTAAGTTGGGATTCTTTGCTAGATTCGCATTCCTTGAATCACCTACCTAAGTATTTGTTTTTAACGTTTCTGAAATCTGGAAATACGCATATATATATTTTACTTTGGGGACGTGCAATTGGAGAATATATAACTTATTGAGGTTCTTTAAACATTCCTTAGCATGAGTTTTGTTTTCCGGGGGACAAGAGCAGATATAGAAAGTGGATTTCCAGGATTTGTACCTGAGCAGCGTCCAATGGTACACATATATCCCATATATCAGACGTAGTTTTCTTGTTGTTTCAATTTAGAGTTCCTCATCACATATGTAGAGTTTCAACTATTATTTATCTGCTAATCTTATTGTTTTTCCCCCTCCCATCAGCGTGTACATTCTGCACGTCCAGTTAGTTCCAACTCACTTACTTTCCTTGTTACAGGTATTTATATCCTCACTCTATAATGCTCCTAATATATATTACCAGCTATTTTCTTATAGAGATATTAAATTCACTTAATGTATTTTTTATGTCAGTTTTATTGCTATTCATGATACTGAACTCGCACCAGATGTCACCTAACTTTCTGGTATTTTCTTTCTCTGGCTACTAGTGAGGGGTATAATCTTGCTAATTAAGGTTAGCATTAGTTTCCAAATCATAGTAAATTTTACTGGGGTGTCTCTTCGATTTATTTCTGCAGCTATGGCTTGTGCTCGGTGTCTTTTTGATGGCCACAACATTAAGGATGTATGCAACTTGCCAGCAACTTCAAGCTCAAGCCCAAGCTCATGCTGCGGCAGCCAGTGGCCTTGTCGGTCATACTGAATTGCGCTTGCACATGCCACCATCCATATCACTGGCAACAAGAGGACGTCTGCAGGGCCTCAGGCTTCAGCTTGCTCTTCTTGACCGTGAATTTGATGACTTGGGTCTGTTATCTAGAGATATATTTCTTTAAAGGATTTCTGTTGCTTGAAATGGGATAAGTGTTTATTAAGTTATAATATTTCCCGAAGACACTTCTTTCTAGTATATGTTGAATTTCTTGTTAGCAAAAATATATATATATATATATATGTTGAACTATTTCATCCTCTTGCATTATTTTAGTATCTTACTTTTCTCCAAAAGTGGAGTGGCAACTCAATCATTTAAATTGTTCAAATCAGTTTAATTTGCAAAAATCCAAAACTTTCTGGCAAAAAGAAAGAATAACATAAGATTATTAATTTTTGCATAGTTTTTTCTGGTTTTTGACAGATTATGAAACATTGAGAGCGCTGGATGCTGATAATGTTCCAACAGCTTCTTCTATGAGTGAGGAAGAGATAAATGCTCTTCCTGTTCATAAATACAAGGTTGCTGGTTCTCAAACGTAAGTTTTGAGTTTTACTTGTTGGCAGTTTTTCCACCTTTTTTTTTTTTTTTTAAAACCCTTAGAATAAGAGCTCTGATAATTGAAGTTTGTTTTTGTACTTAATTCTTTCCCCATTCAACTTTTCCTAGGAATGAACGTTTCTTTTACTGTTCACAAATTTGTTAGTTGAACTTTTCCCCTTTGAAATTCCTTCTCATGCTATTTCAATTCCTTCACATGTTGTTATGAGAAAGTTGAGGGTGTGGGGAAAAAAGGAAAATGGGGAGGAAAAGGAGATACATTGTGAAACCTGTAGAAACTTTAAGTTCCTAAACTTGTTTGAAATATGTCAAACTTGAATATTAGTCTTTTTGAAGCAGTTAAAAAATTGCTATCATTCTGATTATTAGAGTATTTGGGTCTGAAAATCCATTATTAGAAAGTTCTTGTTTTGATTGCAGTGGTGCCTCTTCTATGCAACAGGCCTCATCTTCAGCATCCGTTGAGGTATTAACAATTCTTTTGCGGCCTTCTCGTTGTCTTTCCATTTACTCTCTCTCATGTATATTTTCTATTGTCTATAGCAGAAGCAAGGAACCTCTAGCGGTGCAGCTGGGAACACTAAGGCCTCAGAAGATGAACTGACTTGTAGTGTTTGCTTGGAGCAAGTTAATGTGGGAGAACTCATCCGGAGCTTGCCATGCTTGCATCAGGTTTAGCATCTTGTTTCAAATGATTCGATATTCTCAAGCTAATATTCCTAGATTTTGTATGACATTGTTAATTGAGAGAGTCGGTAATACCGTACCACATTGGGAATATCTACCAATGTCTTAAAATGACTCAATGTCACGAATCTATATTAAGTCGATTTAGTAGGGGGATTAGCAAGTGAGTCTCTTTCCTTTACATCTGTGTTTATATCTATTTGTAGTTACTATATTGAAAATCCTTAAGGGTATCTTCCTCTGTTTTTATTGAAAATAGAACTAAAAAGACGTAATAGTTAGTGTTCTCTCTAATCTTCATTTTTCCAGCGTTGTATGGTAACCATGAAAATAACTTTTGATTTTGCAGTTCCATGCTAACTGCATTGACCCTTGGCTAAGGCAACAAGGAACATGTCCTGTATGTAAATTCCGGGCGGGATCCGGTTGGCATGAAAATGGACAAGATGAAGTGGATGCTTCTTATATGGTTTAAATCCTCTCCACTCAGACACTGATTTAACTAGTGAATGCCTCTGCCTGAAGGGGCTTTCCATCGACTAAAAAGGGGTTGTCTATAGAGTATAGAGAAACTATTTTTTAAGTTATTGGCTTATTGCCAGCATCTATTGTAATTACCTTGACATAGGCATCTAGATGAGTGACAGAGCACTCTTTGGTCGACTTCACCGCTTTTTTTTTTTTTTTTTTTTTTTTTTTGGGTGAAAGTAACATAAAAAACTCTGTTACTTTGATGCTGGTTGATTCTAGTATTACACACCCAAACCAATGTGCAATTGCCTATAGGAGTAGAAACGGGGCCTTGTTACAAGAACAGACGTTTATTCTATTAAAATCTCTTCTTAATTTCCCCAAGTTTTTCTACATTGAAATGAGCTTGTTGGATGGTTTGACTCATTTATTAAAAGCTTGCGTACCAATTTTTGTTTTTTTTTTTGTTTTTTTCTTTTTTAATACAAGGCGGGTGGGTTAACCCCACGACCTTCCGCAAAGCCCCAGCTACCCAAACCCGCGACTGGAGCAAACAATCTAAAGGCTACATACCAATTATTATTGATGGTACTTGGGAAACTATTATGGTTCACGAGTTTCGGAAGAAGATACGACATAGTGAGTTGAACAGCCGTCTCGAAATTTCATATTGAACACAAAAGGACCGACCTATCTCACCCATAAGAAAAGCATTAACTGTTTTGTTTTAGTATTACAACATAATTGGGACTTAAAAATACCTCTTTAAGAGTTATAGAAATTAACCCAGTCAAGTTATGCAATCTGGCAAATGACAAAACTACTTTCATTTAAATGTATATGTCGTTATATGGCCCTACTTTGCTTTGCCCTTTCCCTTCCCTTTCTTGGATTCCAACTTAGCTTGAATACGAGCAGCCGCGGCAGCTTTGGCTTCTTCTCTTTTCTTCTTTTCTTCCTCTTTGGTTGCAGCGGCAATCTCCCTCTGCTTCTTCAGCTCTCTGTAACAACATCAATTCGTGACATGCATTATTATCATATTGTTCACGAAAGTATATTTATCTTAGAGAGTAAGTCTGCAACTCCGTAGGGTATCAAAAAGGCACATGAATAACGCAGGGATGGTTCAACTTACTCTAGTCTAGCCCTCTCCTCTGAAACACTGCCGAGACTTGATCCCTTCCGTGGATTGCAGGAAACTAACTCCACCTCAAATATAAGTGTGGCACTGCAATTAATACGTAAATAATCATAACAGATATATTGACCAAAACTACTAGCAAAAGCACACAACATAAGCTTTAAACAAATTTCCCCTCTAGTTGTATGGGGGTCTCTTTCTATCCAAATAATGATTTGAAGCAACTGATGCAAAGACTTGTACGTTCACTCTAAACTCCATATTTCCCACATCACATAAGGGAGACGTGAGACGCCACAATGAAGCACACAATCTATGCTTAAAATAATTTTCCCTCTAGTTACATGGGACCTTACTTCTATCCAGCTATTGATTTGATTTTATGGTTTGAGTTTGTCTACTCGCTAAATCAGGTCCCTTCCTTTGTACAATTCCAACTTTAGTTCAAAGACTTGTAAAACAACATGAAGTACTGACTGCTCAGTCTTGAGTTCGATTCTTCTTCTTCTTCTTCTTCTTCTTTATTTATTTATTTTTTGACCCCTACAAGTAGCTGTCAGCCTTTTATTGTCAATCTAACAATAATAAAGGAAGAAAAATGACTTTACTCTGGCGGAATATCGGGCGGGGAGCCGGCACTTCCATACGCATATTCCGGCTTGCAAGTGATTTTTGCTATCTCCCCAACCTGGAATCCAACAACGTATACTAGGTTAAGGGAAATCATTCAACGTCAAAACTAACAAAATTTTACATCAGGAGAACAACTAAACCTTCATAGTTCGTAAGGCGATGTCCCAAGCCTTGATCACAGTCCCCTTTCCGAGCTCAAAAGAGAAAATCGTATTGTCTTCACGTGTAGTATCAAAGATGTCACCAGTTTCTGCCAGAGTGCCTTCATAATGAACTGCTCAGAGTAAACAAATACGTTAGAATGGTAGTAACAGACTAACAGTTTTCATTATTCCAAGAAATCAAAGGACATTTGCAACATGATGATGGAACTAATAGTGTCTTTAAAGTTTAAATATACGTAAAGCCTCAAACTAAGAAGCATAAGAATTTCTGAAAAACCTAAGCGGGAGTCACCTACTTGAATTTGGGGCACTAATTCCTGAATATGGTTATGAGGTGGAAAAAGGACTATTCATTCCAAATTCCAACCTCTATTGAACGTTGTCATTCTATTTCTGTAACTTACAATGTGTAGTAAACACAGAAGTAACGATAAGATTTCATCTGTATGTTACATACCATCAACAAGGGGGAGATCTTCTGTTGGAGCAATCGCCTCTGCTTTTGTGTGCCTTATAACCGTCTTGATGACGCCTCCATCTCCGGTTAAATCAATAGCGTCCCCCATGGCTTGCAATCTTTCAACGGTCTGGTCAATAAGATAAAAAAAACATCATGAGAAAATGTCGGAAATTTATTCAAGACTCAAATTACACACACACACACACACAAATTGCCAAGAAGATTAGACTAATAAAATTAAGCATTGACACCAATTTCAAATACTTACAATTATATATCAGGACTCAATTAAAATGTTGCATAGATGATTTAAAAATAAAAAAGAATGACTAACACAAGAAACAATTAAGTCAAAATAAGTAACGTTCAGCTCATGAAGTTGAAATGCAAAATCCATTAACATTCGTTGAAATCCCCGTAATTCGGTGTCAAATCAAAGCTCAATTTAAACATCTCATGAATCCAAAGAAAAACAGCAAAGAAGCCCACATTATTCCGTTGGTTGTAAATCAATAGATACACATATAAATTAGGGCAAACTAAGAACAGAGCAAGAAATGAACAATTCCAAACCTTAAAACTTCGTTTCAACGTTAATCACGCCACTAACCAAGAAGATACACACAAGAACATAATCAAGAAAATAAATATACCAATGAATTGAATCGAAAATCACATTCAATTTGAAGGATTGGGGGGAAAAAAAAGGACCTAGGGTTTTTCAGTGAGAGAGATAAGTGAAATTGAACTGACCTAGAAATTCTTAGCTGATATCGGAATTGGAGAAACGGAGAGGAGTAACCGGGTTGTCGGGTGGATTCGGCGACGAAAATCGGGTCAGAATTTGGTCGTAGCCGAGAGCTCCGGTGGCCATAGGCGACTGTCGAAATTAACGAAGTGCGAGGAAGGTGAACTGATTTTATACCTAAGCTAATCGAATGGTGAAAATAATCCTACCCGCATATCTAGCGCGTGTCATGTACTTGACTATTGGAAGTTGAGAAAACGGTTGTCTAGTCTATGAAACGCGCCAGAGTAAAGCCTAATTGGGTGAATCAGTGCTTGCTTGCGTATTCTCGTTCATTTCATTTGAATTTAAAATTTGAGTTTAATTACAGTAAAAAGCTCTTAAAAATAGTCAAATTTAATTTTTTTTGTTACAGTAAAAAATTTTCATAAAAAATCACATCTCAAGTCGAATTAAAAACTCGAATCAACGAACTAAACATGCCCATCCTTTCTTCTATTTTTCTTCTTTCCACAGCAATATAATATTATCTTTTTTTCCCTTTTACTGAAGGAATTGCACGTTTTATTTAGATTATTTTTTATTTTTTATTTTTTATTTACCGTTTAATCTCTATTTAAATAAGTTTTTTATTATTTTATTAATTTTTAACGTGAACACGTTAAAAAATTTAACAATTAAAACAATACTTCCTACCAATAAAAAAACTCATTGTAACAAAAAAATTAGAGATGTCAAAAGGGCCGTGCCGGCACGGCCCTTCTAACCCCAGGCCCATGGCGGGCCTGGGCCGTGCCAGGGCCGGGCCTGAGGAGAAACCCTCAGGCCCAGCACTGGCCCTAGTCCATGAGAGCTAGGGCCGGGCCTGGGCCCAGGCCCTTCACGGGCCGGCTCTAGCCCTTTTAATTTTTTTTAATATTTAATTACAAAAAAGAAAATATATCATATGTCCCCAAAAGATGTGATTTTATTGAATTGAGATAATACAAATAAGTACACATAAATGATCAACTCGTTAAAAACCTTGTCAAGTAAATCTCGTGGGGAGATCGGGACAAAACCTTAGTGAAGGAAAAAAGAGAGCAGTATTTTAGGATAAGTAAATTACAAAACCTAAGTGCTTCTAGAAGATTCTGTTATGTATAAACTCAATCTTAACCTAATTTTTTTAATGCACTTGAGTTTCACTTATGATTAGCAATATTTTTTAGGATTTTTTTTTAATTTCAAATTTGATGACAAAAAAAAGTAATATATCATATGCCCCAAAAATATGTGATTTTATTGAATTAATATGAATAATTATAAGAAAATGACTGGGTGACCAGACGGCATAGGTCGGCCAATTAGCCCTAAAATGCCTCAAACCTCATTAAAATTTCATGTCGCGGGCCTGGCCCTTCGTGTGCCTGGGCCGTGCCTAGCCCTTCGCATGCATGGGCCTTGGCGTGCCTGGGCCGTGCCTGGGCCTTGGGCGGGCCTGGGCCGTGCCTGGGCTGCGGGCCTCAAACATGAAGCCCAGCCCAGGCCCTTCTGGCGTGCCGTGCCGGCCCGGCCCATAACAATACAGGGCCGGGCCGTGCCGAATTTGCTACTGTAGCGGGCTGGGCCGGGCCGTCCATGGACGGTCCGGCCCAATTGACACCTCTAAAAAAAAACCCGTACTACAAAAGTGCCTTTTTTTTTTTCTAAAAACTTTTTATGACAGTCCAAGTAGTCAATGCTCCAGCTCCATTTCTCAAAAATCTATGACACAAAAATGTTTATTTTGTCCCTTTTTAATGGGAGACACTTATTGTTACTGTGTTATTTTTTAAATTAATTTAAAATTTTAGTACTCATTTAGACTTCCTTATATGAAACTTTTTTTTTAATTGACAAGTTTTTTCTTTAGGTGGAAATTGATTCATTTGCTTCAGTTTCAAAAATCTCATCTTCCATATTCTGCATGTACTCTAATTATAATAATTTTAAAGTGAGGAGTGTGTGTGGTTAAACAATTAGCATGGTGTATTAAGACCACCATGAATGCAAGTGTCTATACTCTTACAAATAATATGTGTTTTATCGATAGGAAGTGAAGAAATCGTCATTGATAGTGTATCCCCAATCGATCGGATAAAATTTTTCCAAACAAAATAAACAAATAAAAATGTGAATTTTTTACCCATCCCGGCCTTTGGGCGCCCTACTGAGCGCCGGGGGCTTTTTGAAATTGTTTTACTTTTTTCATTTTTCAAGCCCATTTTTTGCAGGCATGCTTAGAAAAATGTAAGGATCGTGTCTGTAAAATTTCAGAATTTTTTTACGTCATTTTTATTTTATTTTATTTTTCAATGACAAAATATAGAGAAAATAATAAAAAAATAGTGTCGCTTGTTGCATTAATTCTTAAAAATCATGTATTAATTTTAAAATACAAAACATAAATAAAAATGTGAATTGTTAACCCATCCCGGCTCTGGGCACCCCACTGCGCTTGTCATGGGCCTTTTGACATCGTTTTTCTTTTTTCATTTTTTGAGTGCATTTTTTTCAGGCATGCTCAGAAAAATGTAAGGATCGTGTCTGCAAAATTGTATAAATTTTTGAAACCATTTTTATTTTATTTCATTTTTCAAAGACAAAAAATAGAAAAGGTCATAAAAAATAGAGTATTCAACAAAAAATGGTCTCGCCTGTTGCATTAATTCCTAAAAATAATGTATTAATTTTAGAATGCAAAAGATAACTAAAAATATGAATTTTTCACTCCCCCCGGCCTCTAGGCTCCCCACAGCGCGCACCAGGGGCTTTTAAACATCGTTTTTCTTTTTTCATTTTTTGATTCCATTTTTTTTAGGCTTGCTCAGAAAAATGAAAAGATCATGTCTGTAAAATTTCATAATTTTATGAAATCTTTTTTATTTTATTTTATTTTTCAAAGATGAAAAATGGAGAAAATTATAAAAAATAGAATATTCATCAAAAAATGGTGCCACCTGTTGCATTAATTCTTAAAAATCATGTATTAGTTTTAGGATGCAAAACATAAATAAAAATGTGAATTTTTGACCCCTCCCGGCCTCTAGTCGCCCCACTGTGCCCCTTGGGCTTTTTGACATCATTTCTCTTTTTTCATTTTTTGAGGCCATTTTTTGCAAGCATGAACGGAAAAATGTAAGGATCGTGTCGGTAAAATTTTAGAATTTTTTGACGTCATTTTTAGTTTATTGTATTTTTCAATAACAAAAAATAGAGAAAATCATAAAAAAAAAATAGAATATTCCTCAAAAAATAGTGCAGCTCATTGCATTAATTCCTAAAAATCATGTATTAATTTTAGAATTCAAAACATAAATAAAAATATGAATTTTTGACCCCTCCCGGCCTCTGATGGCCCCTGCCGCAGGGCTTTTTTACATCATTTTTCTTTTTTCTTTTTTTGATGCCATTTATTTCATGCATTTTGAGAAAATGTAAGGATCGTGTCTGCAAACTTCAGAATTTTTGACATCGTTTTTATTTAATTTTATTTTTTAATGACGAAAAATAGGGAATATCATAAAAAATATAACATTCATCAAAAATAGTATCGCTTATTGCATTAATTTTTAAACATCATGTATTAATTTTAGAATGCAAAACATAAATAAAATTGTGAATTTTTTACCGCTCTCGGCCTTTGCGCGACCCACTGCGCACACCGGGGGCTTTTTGACATCATTTTTTTTTCATTTTTTTATGCCATTTTTTGCAAGCAAGCTTAGAAAAATGTAAGGATCGAGTCTGCAAAATTTTAAAATTTTTTGACATCTTTTTTATTTTCTTTTATATTTCAAACACGAAAATTAAAGAAAATCATAAAAAATAGAATATTCCACAAAAATTGGTTTCTATCCTTGCATTAATTCCTAAAAATCATCTGTTAATTTGAAAATGCAAAACATAAATAAAAATGTGAATTTTTTATTCCTCCCGGCCACGGGGCGCACCATTGCCATAGTTTTATTTTTTCATTTTTTGACGTCATTTTTTGCAAGCAAGCTCAAAATAATGTAAGGATCTGGTCAGAAAAATTTTAGACTTTTTTGACATCTTTTTTATTTTATTTTATTTTTTAAACATGAAAAATAAACAAAATCATAAAAAAAAATAGAATATTCATCAAAAAATTATACCACTTGTTGCATTAATTCCTAAAAATCATATATTAATTTTAGAACGTAAAACATAAATAAAAATGTAAATTTTTTACCAATCTCGGCCTCTAAGCATCCCATTGTGCTCGTCGGGGCTTTTTGAAATCGTTTTTCTTTTTTCATTTTTTGAGGCAATTTTTTGCAGGCATGCTTAGAAAAATGTAAGGATCGTGTCTGAAAAATTTCACAATTTTTTGATGTCATTTTTATTTTCTTTTCTTTTTTCAATGACAAAAAATAGAAAAACTCATAAAAATAGAATACTCATCAAATATTGGTGCCGCTTGTTGCATTAATTTCTAAACATCATTTATTACTTTGAGAATATAAAACATAGATACAAATGTGAATTTTTGACCCATCCCGGCCTCTGAGCGCCCCACTGCGTGCGTCGGGGGCTTTTTCACATCGTTTTTCTTTCCTCATTTTTTGACATCATTTTTTGCAAGGATCGAGTCTTCCAAATTTTAGAATTTTTTGACATCTTTTTTATTTTATTTTATTTTTCAAACACGAAAAATAAAGAAAATCATAAAAGAAATAGAATATTCATAAAAAAATGGTGCCTCTTGTTGCATTAATTTGTAAAAATCATGTATTAATTTTATAATGTAAAACATAAATAAAAATGTGAATTTTTGACCTCTCCTGGTCACTGGGCGCCCCATTGCCCGCGCCAGGGGCTTTCTGTCATAGTTTTACTTTTTCATTTTTTGACGCCATTTTTTGCAAGCAAGCTCATAAAAATGAAAGGATCGGGTCCGCAAAATTTCAGAATTTTTTGACATCTTTTTTATTTTATTTTTCAAACACAAAAAATAAAGAAAATCATAAAAAATAGAATGTTCATAAAAAAATTGGTGTCTCTTGTTGCATTAATTATGAAAAATTAAGTATTAGTTTTAGAATACAAAAAAATAAATAAAAATGAGAATTTTTGACCCCT